GTACATAGAGTTGCTATGAGTTTCAGGTGACTCGACGGCACATAACAATAACAACAAGCATCCAATTTAGGAAGCTCTGGTGGCCTAGTGGGAAGAAGCTGCACTGCAATCCTGAAGGCACGTGGTTCAAAGCCACTAGCTGCTTTGTGGGAGAAGGATGAGCAATCTCGTCCTGTGTGATTAACAGCCACTGACTGACACATCTACTTTCTTTGCCCTAGTTACTGTATCAATCCATCTCATCAGAGGTCTTCCTCTCCTGCACTGTCTCTCTACCATTCTGAGTATGATATTCTTCTCCAGTGTCCCTCCTGATCACATGTCCAAAGTATGTAAGATGAAGCTTCAAAATGCTATCCTCCAAGGAGAAAATTGGTTTCACCATCTCCAAAACAGACCTATTTGTTTTCTTGGAATTCCATTATATGTTAAAGACTCTTCTTTAAGACCACAACTCAAAGGTATTAATTCTTCTTCTGTCATCCTTAGTCTTTGTCCAGCTTTCTGACACACAGCAAATCATTGCAAAGGCCATGGTCTGGATCAGGCACACCACATTCTCTAGATTAACATCGTTGCTTCTTGGTACTCTGCAAAGGTCACTGACAGGTGTTTAAACTTTTAGTTTCCTGACGGCTGGTGCCAAGAGTGTTGACTGTGGAGTCAAGCAAGCTATAGCTATTAACAACCTCAATCTATTCTCCATCCATCATGGTGCTGCCATTTGGCTCAGGGATGAGAGAATCTTTGTTTTCTTGATGTTGAGCTTCAATTCATATTGAAGGCTGCAGTCCTTGAGCTTCTTTGGCAAGCCCTTCAGGTCCTCCTCAGTTTCAGTAAGCAAGGTTATGTCATCTGCATAATGTAGGTTGTTGATAAGTCTTTCTCCAATATTGATGTCACATTCTTTGTCATAAAGCCCAGCCTCCCGGATGATCTGTTCTGCATATAGACTGAAAAGGTATGGAGAGAGGATACATCCTGATGCACTCCCTTCCTAATTTTGAGCATGTATTTGTTTTTCCTGCTCTGTTCTGAGGACTGCTTCCTGGGCACAAGCAAATGTTCTGGGATTTCCATCTCAATTAGCATGAGACACCAGCAACACTGTGAGGTGCAAGACATCACAGAAGTGACTTGTGGCCTAAGCCATCATATCAAAGGTTGCTGGGGATGGAGGGGAGTTCTGTATGGGGTAGGAGGGAAAGCAATTGATGCTAATATTCAGGGAAAGGGAAGGGACAAGACACACATGCAGGGGGAAAGCACTGCACGTATGGTTATCTCTGTAAGGGAAGTAACTTTTATTTTTCTCCTTTCACTAAAATGCTTGTCTGTCACATGTTTTTCCAAAGCTAAGCATCCAAATTTAGAGCAACTAGGAAGAAGAATTGGCCACTCATTTCCAAAGTAAAACAGGCCTTTGAAAACTATATGTACAGTAGAGGACACATAGAGTAGAGTAACAGAATTGGGAACAGAGGTGGGCTGAGTCCTCAAATTTGAAAACAGAAAGGAAGAGGTACAGCTGTAAGCAGACACCAGTGACTGGAATGTGGAATGTGAGAAGCATGAATGTAGGAAAACTGGACATTAAGAAAGAAATGGAGTGCATAAATATTGACATATTAGGAATTGGTGAAATGAGATGGATTGACATGGAACATTTTGAGTCAGGTAATCTTATTATCTAATACACTGGACATGAAAGGGTGAGAAAAATTGGGATTGCTTTTGTAGTTAAAAAGTCTATTTCTAGATCCATCTTGAAATACAATGTTGTGAGTGACAGGGAATCCAAACACATACAAGGAAGACCCGTTAATACTACTATCATTCAAATATATACATCAACAACAAAAGCCAAGGAGGAAAAAAATAAATGATTTCTACCAACTTTTGCAGTCAGAAACTGATAGAACACACAACCAAAATGCATAAGTAATAATGAGTGACTGGAATGCAAAAGTTGAGAACCAGGCAGGATCAGTAGTTGGAAAACACGGACTTGGTGACAGAAATGAGGCTGAGGATAGAATGATAGAATTCTGCACAATGAGTGGTTTATTCATAGCAAATATCTTTTATAAGAAACATAAACTCAGGCTATTCACATGGATTTCACCTGAGGTTATGTACGGGTATCAAAACGATTACATCTGTGAAAGGAATTGTTGGAGAAGTTCAATATCAGCCACGAAAACTAGGCCAGGTGCTGATCATTAGTTACTTCAAAAACTCTACAGTACACAACAAAAACAACATCTAGATTCCATTTTTGGATAAGTAATTGCTACCAGCACTAGGCTGTAAAAAGGCAAACCAAAAACAGAGAAGAAATGTTAAAGTCAAAGAACAGAAGATTTCAAAGGGCAGCCTGAAAAGAAAACACAGGAGATTACAATGAAATGTGCAAAGAGCTGGAAATAGAAAACCCAAATGGAAGAAAATTCTTCACATTTTTACACTGAAAGACTTTTAAGTATAAATTTCAGTTTCAAGCTGCAATATGTTCACTAGAATGATTCTATGGGCAAAATCTTAAACAATGCAGGAAGCACTGAAAGATAGAAGGAGTATAAAAAGTCACTGCATCCAAAAGAATGGGTCTGATGGTGACACAGGACATTCATGGAGCTTGCTTATCCACAGTAGAGACACAGGCATAGATCCTAACTAAATGTCAGGCATGGGTGAGCTGAACACTTTGAAACCTGAGGGAATCTATGGAGACAAAATTTTGCCAGGGAAAAATTGTAATAGCACAGATAGGAAACTTTTAGTAAACAGCATGGACCAAACTAGGGGCCCCCTGCCCCCACAAGGGGGAGGGAATTCTTACTAGGAAAAGGACTGTTTTATCCCCATCTACATGAAGATAGATGCCCAAGCTACCCATCATCTGGCAGGGTGAGAAGATGAACAGATCATAATTAAAACTCACAACAAAAACAAAAAATCCCTATCCCAGATGGCTCCACTAGTAAATTCCACCAAATATTCAGAAATGAACTATTACCAATTATTATTAAATTATTTTAAAATATAGAAAAAGCATTAACATTCCTATGGTTACTCTATGAAGCAAGTATAAATCTGATACCAAAATCAGGCAAAGACCTCACCAGAAAACTAGAAACCAATTATCTCTCTTGTACAAAACTCCTTTACAAAATTCTAGCCAATAGAGTCTAATAGTATATATATATTTTAAAAAATCATCATGATCAAGTGGGTTTCACAACAGACATGCAAAAAGTGTCTCTTCATAATAAAACAATTAATGTAATTTATCACATTAATAAAGTAAAGGATAAGAACTGTACAATCAATGAATGGGACCTTCTAAAATTATTTATATTTTTCTGGATTTCTCCCCCCCTGCAACTGTTGACTTTCTTTGTTCAACCTGTTGTAAAAGATTTTTGATGCAAACAAAAACCTTTTCCAACAGGGCAAAAAGAAAGTCAACAGGTGGGCGGAACCCAGAAAAATTGTGTGTCAGTGTTGCATCCTGTCTCTGTACCTGTATGCTGAACAAATAATTTGAGAAGCTGGACTATATGAACAAGAATGTATCATCAATTAAGAATGAAGAAAGATGACACAACCTTGTTTGCTGCAAGTGAAGAGGACCTGAAACATTTGTTGCTGAGGATCTGTAACCTTCATTATATTATTAACATCAAGAAAACAAAAATCCTCACCAGTGGATCTTAAGTCATTATGCTAGATGGAGAAAAAAAATTGAAGTTGTCAACAATTTTATTTTACTTGAATCCACAATGAACACCCAGAGTAACTGTAGTCAAGAAATCAAAGGGTGTTGTATTGGGTAAATTGGTTGTTAAGAAAAAGAGCAAAACTGTTAGTTTAAAGTCTAAGGAGCACCTGATATATAAGCCATCACTTTTTCAGTTACTTCCTAAGCATGTGAACCTTAGACAATGAATAAGGATGACAGTAAAAGAATTTATATCTTTAAGCTATGGTGTTAGAGAATAGTACTGAATGGACTGAAAACAAAGATAAATAAACAAGTCTGTGGTGGAAAAATGCAATCAAGGTGTCCCCCAGAGCAAGATTGGTGATAATCTGTCTCATACGTTGGACATGTTTTCAGGAGTGGCCAGTCCTTGGAAAAGGCATCATGCTGGGGAAAGTGAAGGATCAAAGAGAGGAGGACCCCACAACAAGGTGGATTAATACAGACTCTGTAACAATGGTTTGGCATGTTAGAGATTGTGAGGATGGCGAAAGAGGGCAAGGTTTAGATCTGCTGCTGTGAGTCATAGTTTATGACTATATAGTTATGTAGTTTACTAGTTTACTGCCCCTAACAACAACAAATCTATATATTCCAGGGACTATAAATACCAGCCTTCTCACAGCTTTCTCAAACTTTAGAAGCTTCTAAGTCTAATACAAACTGTGGTTGACAAGTAAAGTAATAATATGCTACCTTTTGAGTGCCTGAGGTATAAAGTTCATTAGTCGAAGGTCATCATTTTAGTGCAACAGTCCAGTTTTATACACATCATCAGACACTATGTGAGAAATTACAGCTATTAAAAAATAAACAACACTAGACTGGAGTTTCGATACTGTCCTGACTAGTAAAATCAGTGCTAAACCCCAAAAGAGCTCTTATTCATTTTAAAACAAAATGTACTAACCAAATAAAACAAAAGTTTCCCCAGGATATTATTATTTGAAATACTGTTATATTTAAGCTTTTCTGGGAGTTTTGTGATTTGGTTCTATTTTTTTGGTGGTATTTTTTTTAAAAAAGCTGCTGTTTGGGGGAGCAAATGCTGATATATCTAGAGAAGCATTATTAGATCTTTTATAATATTTCTCCCCCTTCGGTTGTCATTTACATGTACCTGAAACCTGAGCAGTACTGCTTCAAGTTTTTCAGTAGATGCCACTTTAAAGAAGAAAAAGAGAGACAGATCCTTGTGTTTAACCAAATGTTAAATATTTTTTATTTTACTCACCTGCACACTAAGATGAATCCATTTCTTCACAAGAATTCTCCCCAGTGTCATTACTTTTATTGGAGGCTGCAAACCATTTACTGTGCGATAATAAAACATGGTCTCTTTCTCAGATATTGTAAGTTTGAACACAATCTGCCCATCCGCTGCTTTTTCTATAACACACCTTAGGAAGCAACCAGAAAAGAGAGAAAAGGTCAGGATACAACCAGAAGATGCATTAAGGCTTTGTGCTACCGTGGTGTTCAAACGACCCCAAATGTCACTCAAAATGGTACACGATGAATAAGTGTCTCAATGTCATATTCAAAGCTAGCTTTATGCCAGTAAAGAAGCCCTTTCATTTAAATAGGCGGGGGGGAATAGAATTCTTATTTGCAATATATCCCTGAGAGCCTCAACACCCTTCATTAGAGATTCATGATAGAAACTAAAGTCTTGGAATCATTCTGCAAAACTAACATTTAGTCTATTGGCTCATTAGTTCCATTGCTATTTCTTTTATAGGAAACGGCACAACACTCTACATCCCACTTGGGTATTAAGTCATCAGTGCACGTCCTTCTTTTTCTTTTTTTTAAAAAAAAAATATAAAGAGAATTTAGTGTCCATGGAAAACTCAAAACCACCAGTCTCATCTTTAATGCTCTATTTAATTGCCACAATGAAATGGAGAATGGACAGCTACAGCCTCTACTTGTCCCATCATTGGTTGACCAGAAGATGACTGCCCACATATCCATGACCACTAAACTCAAGTGAGGTACCAATATAACGTTAAAGACTTGGCATGAAAGCTATCCAATCTTAAAAGAACACAGTGAAAGAGTACTTAGATAAAATAGAAGGGCATTTAGAGAAATTCTAGTTCTGGATTCAGGTTAGTTAAATTATTTTTTAAAACTCTCATTTGACCTTGTCAGAATGGTATGTTTTTCAAATCCCTGCAGACAGTCATATAGCATATGTAGCATATGCTTTATGTTTTAATTTTCTATTTCTATGTATGTTATCTTCAATTATGTTCCTAAAACTATATGTTAAAGTCCTAGCCTCTTGTATCTATGAAACTGACCTTGTTGAAAGTGTTTTTGAGGATGTATCAGTTGCCATGAAGTTGTTGGGATAGGGTAGAGAGACACAGGCACACAGAGGGAAGATAGTTTTGTAACAACAGCAGTTGTTGTTGTTATAAGCCATCAGGTCACCTGACACTCATAGTGACCCTGTGTACAACAGCCTTTAACCCTGCTCTATCCTGAGCCTATCTCACTGTCTTTGACATACCTACCCCTATTACCCCAGTCACTGACTCAATCCACCTCATAGAGGGCCTTCCCCTCCTGCGCTGTCCCTCTACCTTCCCAAGCATAATGTCCCCCTCCAAGGACTGGCCCTTCCTTGCAACATGTCCAAAGTATGTCAGACAAAGCTTCAGAATCCTTGTCTCCAAGGAGCAGTAGAAATTGGTATTACCTACAACCCAAGGTGTACAGTCACCAAAAGCTAAGAGACACCAGGACAGGTGCTTTTTCAGAACTCTCAGAAATAACTAACAAAGCTGATACCCTGAATTCTAAAATATAGAATTAAAAATATAATTTTATATGTATTCTTTTTCAGAGTAGTTCCCTGGAAACCAATGCGATTTGTCTTCAATTGCACTTACTTTATTTCATGTAATTCTAATATTGTCCATTTCTGCCTACTACATGCTCATATGGACACAGGCCACATTCTTCTCTACCACATTTTAACCTAGCAACTCATCTTTATAGTGTAAGAGAGAACATAATGAATACTTGCTAGTAGCCTCTGGAGCTGATGATTTCCAACAACTTCCTATATAAAGATATGCATTACTGACACCTCCCCAAATCATTACTATGTTGTTATGGATCTTAAAGTCAGAACTAACTCATAGCTGATCCTCCAGGAGGTTTTCAGATGCAATAAATCACAGACGAGGAGACTGCCCATCTTGCTCTGTGGAGTACCGGATGGATCCAAACCGTGTGCCTTTGAATTGGTAGCACCAACTGCACCTGTCTACTCCACCTTAATGGGGAACTATTGCATGGTTTACTGTTTCTACGTGGCATGATGTAAACTTTTCCATATAGGCAGAGGCTATTTCTTGGGAAAGCATATCACTCTTGGAAAGCAGGAAGGTCAGTGAAAGAAAGAAAGACCTCCAACAAGATGGACTGACAGAGTGACTGCAGCAATGGGCTCAGGTAGAGTACAGATGGTGAAGATGACACAGGATAGTACAGGATCCAGATCATAGGGTCACGATGAATCATACTTAAGAACAGTGTTAATGCTGCATTCACACTCTGGTGAATGCATAATGCCACTGAATTATGCCCTTAAAAAGGGTTCAAGTAGTAAAATTGTTGTTATCTGTATTTTTCTATTCTGGAGACTAAGGTGCATCTGACACAGGCCATGATCTTTGCAGTCATTTGTTATGCATCAGAGAGTTAGACAATGACTAAGGAGGACAGAAGGAGAATTGATGCCTTTGAGCTGTGGTGCTGGAGAAGAGTATTGAATGTACCATGGACTGCCAAGAAAACAAACAGATTCATCCTGGAAAGGGTTAAACCAAGCGGCTCCTCGGAGGCAAGGATTCTGACACTTTGGTCATGTTGTAAGGAGGGACAGGTCCTTGGAGAGGGACATCATGCTTGGGAGGGTGGAGAGACAGTGCAGGAGAGGGAGACCCTCTATGAGGTGGATTGATTCAGTGACTGGGGTAATCGGGATAGGATTGTCAGAGACAGTGCAATTGGCACAGGACAGAGCAGAGTTTAGAGCTATTGTACATAGGGTCTCTATGAGTTGCAAGTGACTTGACGGCACATAACAATAACAACAACAGCAGCATATTTTTCTATTAACAAAGTTACTTCAGGTTTGGAAGCAGGAATGACATCCACTTCCTAAACCAAATGTCTCTCAAAACTCTATGAACATAGAGAAATGATGTTAATTACAGAAAGAGGTCTTTTGTTCATAGGGTCACTATGAGTTGTATTCAACATGACGGCACTTAACCACTGCCAAGTGAGACTAGTGTTGTTATATTTTGGAGGAACACTCTTCTACTTTGTACATCACTCTTTGTCAATTTGCTGTACTGAGGTAATCTGTGTTTGCTGTGATGCTGAACCTTGTGCCATTGAGGTGTGAAATGCCATAATGGTTTCCCAATGTGGACAGTGGTGGAGCTCCCAATTGTAAAACAGGTTTGGAAGCAGGAGTGGCATTCACTTCCTAAACCACATGCCTATGGGCACTCTTTGAACTTGGAGAAAAGACAAAGGCATTCGTTCTTTTGTTCATAGAGTCGCTATGAGTCGTGCTTGACTCGATGGCAACCAATAACATATTTTAGTACAATAATTCTTAAATGCATAAATCTGAATGATACTGCAGTGTTGTGGTTTATCATTCAAAACTCCTTTTCCAGGACAATGCCCTTGACTGTCACATGGTTGGGTGGGAGCCTGCAAATAGAATGTGTTAGCCTGTCCAGCAAGGGACTAGTTCCTTTTACCATTCTTGTAGGTTTAAATTTAACAGGTTCAGCAGCAGAAATTTGGGAATCTCACTACCAGCAAGAAAGAAGCAGATAATGTAGAACATATCCCTCAGGACCAGAACTACAGAAGAGCAGAAACAACCATAACAGAAACCCAGAAAGACCCAATGTGAGACAGAACTGTTTAGGACTGCTGACGCAAGGAATGAGAGCCTGAATCCTTCACTCAGGCTTGCCGGGGGACTTGTGGTAGAAGTAGTCATAATTGCATGGCTAAGATAACACTGTAACACTGACATAAAGTCACAAGTTTGAAGGGCATACGACACCATTTCAGCAGCTGTCCTGAGATACTGTAATCGGTTGCCAATCTGAGTAGTAACCTGTTAACATCCCTAATAAACCCTGTATGTTCCTGTGATGTATGTTTAGCTATTTGAATGGATTTCTAGCCTAGTAGAACACTACAATTGAACTGGAATTAGTAGAAATAAGTGTAAAAGCATAGGGCCATGTCTGAACTTTTGGGAATTAGTTTGGTGTTGTGGATGCTGTTGATAGGGGCAGTTTCACCTTGTGGAGTTAGTAGAGGCCAGACTCGGCCATCTTTGGGTGCTTCTTATTCTTTTTATAGCTACTTATTATATTTATTAAGTAAGTGTGTAATCTTGTGTCTGTGGTGTTGCTGTGATACTGCACACTGTTCCGGTCTTTTCAAATACTATAATGATTACTGGTTATGTACAATGTTTAGATGAGCTTCCAGATTGATTCATGTTGGGAAGCAGGAGTGGCATCCACTTCCTAAAGTAGATGCCTCTAGAAACTATACAAACTCTCTAAACTCTACAAACTCTCTAAACTCTACAAACTCTCTAAACTCTATACATGTACAGAAATGATGTTAATTATAGAGCAGAGTTCAGGTCTTTTGCGCAAAGCTTACTCTGAGCCGTATTCGACTTGACGACACTTATCCTCTGCTAAGTGAGACTAGTGTGTTAAATCTGGAGGAACTCTCTTCCATTTTGTACATCACTCTTTGTCAATGTGCAATATGAAGTAACCTGGGTTTGCTGTGATGCTGAACCTTGTAACACTGGGGTATCAAATACCAGAATAGTGCACAATGTGAGCAGTGCTTGGTGGAGCTCCCAGTTGTAAAACAGATTTAGAAGCAGGAGTAGCATCAACTTTCTAAACCACATGCCTCTGGAAACTCTATGAACTTGGAGAAATGACTATAGTTGCGGAAAGGCATTATTAGGTCTTTTTTTCATTAAGTCACCATGAGTTGCTCCTGACTCGATGGCAATCGACAACAGTTCTAAAATATAAGCCTGACACCAAAACATTAAAAATGTACAATAAATAGCTTTTTGATAAATTTATCTGGGGGGTGGGGGGAAGTGACTGATCAAATTGAAGAAGAAATAGCAAAGGGCAGAAAAATGGATCAACCAAAACTGTTGCTAAAACTAATTTCCTAAAGCTATCTAGATAATAATTGTCAACCTATAAACTATTATTCTCACTTTGAATCCATTACTCCCTTGACTTAGGAGGTTAAACTGGAGAACATACTACAGTTTCTGTTCCATTCTCTTTGGTACCTATGGTTTCTAATAAAGTTATGAGACTGTGTAGATCTTGTTTAATCTTAGGTGGATAGACTTAACTGTGATATAAAGGTTTTCTATGGATCCTCCCATGCACTATTTTATTAACCCTTTGGTGGCTGGTTATTTCCAAGTAACTGAAATTGAAAAAGTGTCTATCTTCTGCTATCAGGTCCTAAACAATCACAGAGTTTGCCTCTGTTCATTTTCTTTAGTTTAAATCTACAAGCAAGAATTTGACCATTATTCAAGAATGTATTTACCAACTGCAGACTTATATCCCCAAGCTTACTGAAAATGCATTTCTTAATATGTTATTGATTATCTTCCTTGCTATTTTGTTTGCTTGTAAACATGCTAGCTTTGGTAGATAATGGATGTGAGAGGAAGGCAGGTAGCAAAATATTTAGGAACTGGATTTATTCTGCTCCTGAATAAACAATAATTGGATAATCCTTATTTTATTTGTTTTACTTATCTAGTGCAAACACCCTGAAATTCCCCCAATTCCCATAGGCATTTCAGTTTTGAGAATGGAAATAACCTTGATACATGGAAACCTCAAAAACATAGACCCTGTGCTACCATCTCTATAAATATCCTCTATTTGTTTATATAAAATTATGCCAAGCCAAGATGAAGTTGGTATGGAGGTGTCCCTCTGAATTTAGGGGGAAATCCCAAGTATTTTATTCTAGTCACATACTTGTCAAGAACAGAGTTGGGTTCCCCAGTTTTCAAGATAAGGACTGAGTTACATGTGTGCACTTATAAAGCTATAGTGATCATGTTTTTCCACCCTACCAAAGATTCTGCTTCTGTGTGTGGCTGACAATTGTTTCTATCTCGCAATGCCATAAGATCATCCTAAAGAATCTGACTCTTTTCAACTTCAAAAATCTCTCAAAAAGAAAGAGTAATCAGAAAGCAAGGTATAACCCTCAAGTAGAAAATATTTTAGACTCTTGGGGCATAGGTTATATGTATAAACTGTGCTGAAAGTCAATTATTTGTGTAGCTTGTCCCAGGGCTTATGCTGATCCTGGCCCTGCCTCTGATGGCTCAGATCAAAATTACCTAAAATATTAAAAAACAAATGAATCACCTGTGGATATGTTCTGCTTACAATAGAACTATCCCAACACAATATTTTAGGATGATTCCTTTCATCTATACAAAAATTTAGAAAGGGAAGGGGGAAAGTAAACAACATGAATAGGAAAGATAAATCTATGCATAAGAGTCCTGGTGGTGTAGTAGTTAGAAAGTTTGGTTGCTAACCAAAAGTTTGGCAGTTCAAACTCACCAAGTGCTTCTGTTCATAAAAGAATGGTGTGGTGGTTTGCTGCGCGAAGGACCACTGCTTTGGACACTGTTGTTGTTAGGGGCCCTTGAGTTGAGTATGACTCATGGTGACCCTGTGAACAATAGGTCTGAACCCTTTCCTGTCCTGTGCCATCCTCACAATCTCTGACACACTTGACCCTGTTGCTACAGTCACAGTGTCAATCCACCTGTAACCTCTGTAGGCAATTGCAATTTGTCCTGTATTGTCATTGCAAGTCAAAGTCAGCTCCTTAGCATTGGGTTGATGCATTCATAGGCAAAGTCCTAGCCCTTATTTGAGTTCATGACCCAGATTGTACTAATCTTCCATAATTTTTTCACAAGGCCCTCAGAAAACTTCCACGCACACTATTACTTACATTACTCCTTCTTGCTCAGGTTTCAACCATACAGTTAAAGTAAATGATGCCGTCAGCCTTGGAGGAGGAGGAGAAGAGAAGCAATTCTTGTGATTTCCAAAAATAAAGCTTGTGGAATTGCTAGGGGAGTTGGGAGACACGTCATGCTCGTCTGTGGTGAGGCAGCTCCCAAGTCCTGCTGAGAGCAGCGACGCGTAGGCAGCAGGGCCAGACCTGAATGGGCAATCCTGAATACAAAACCTCTGGGTACAGAAGTGAATACTTTCCGCCTCCACAGAGCTATGACAAAAAGTGCTTCGGTCTGGTCGTCCACACGTCGCTTGGGCTGGCACAGTTGAGACACTCTTGAAAGCACCAATGTTCTCCAACCTTGGGAAAAGACCTTGCGAGGCAGCCAGCAACATGGAAGCCAAATGGGCAAAGATCAAAGTTCTGAAGACCGGAAACAAGATGCCAAAGCTAGGTGAAAAAGCCAGGTCTTTCATGTTTACAAAAAAAAGCATTCGTCTCCGGATAAAGCAGCCTTGAATAATTAACAAGGCCCATGCATCTCAGCCAACAACACTTGCAAGCTGGCCGACTAGGTGACGTGGAGATCCTCTCTTTTCTGGAACCCACAGACACTTTTCACAAGGCCCTGCTACCAAAGACACTCTTAGCAATGGCGATGACATGAGTAGTAGCTGGTGACTGTGAAAGAAAATACAGAGTTATGGAAGACTTGTTGAGCAGGACTCTGAGCCCTTGGCAAAAATTACTGAGATTCTTAAAGCAATAAAATATATATATATATATTTCTAATTGTGTTGTTATTTTGTCATTCTTTGGGCAGATATATTGATCAATTGCTCACTTTTAAAATATTATTTTGGAGATATATCTATCTCACTATTTTATTGGGTAAGTCAAGCCATCTAGAAAACCCCAGGACAAGTGCAAAGTGTCTGGGCACAAAGTAATTCCAGGTGTGCTAGCCCACCCCCGGGATTAGCACTATCTACTTAACAAGGTAAAGAATGGTACAGATTTTCTTTATACATGCACCGTATGTTGTACATAGAGCTAACTTGCAGATGCCCAAAATAAAGCTGGCAAAGCACTATGGGCCTTCCCCCTCATCGCAGCGTGTGCAGCAACTTTAAGCTCAGAGTAAAGCTGATTAGGACTCCAACACCATCTGTCTGTCCTGTGCCTTCATATTTAGCAAACGTTTGCATCAATGTTTCCTTATATGTCTGTAGGTTGGATCTGCCCTCCTCCACATACTGTGCAAGTAATTGTATAAGTAAATAATCAGAGTTACCATTTTTAAAAAATTTCATGTCAGCCAGTCCCATCAGTATAAATGGCTCATCAACAGGACTGCTGCCCCCACCCCAGTTACTCTTAGCAGATAGGCCACAGCAGCAGGAATGCTGAAAGGTAGACCAGAGCAAGAGAGTAAATTATTCTGCAGAGCAAACACTTGGTTACCTGAAACTCAGGGTGAAGTCAGCTGTGGCCCACATGGAACTGAGCACCCTAAGCCTCCAGGCTGGGACCTGGAGCAGTGGGAGGGATCAGGATAGGAACATGCATGTGTAATTTTAAAGTAGCAGTACACCTTATCCTATAATCCTGGGTTTGTCCTTTCTTAGCTACTCTCAAGGACCTAAAAACAATTTCATTTTCTAATCAAAATGATCTGCAACTACCAGATCATAAAGCAATGAATAATTGTTGAAACTCTCTGTCGTTTCTGAAGTTTTGTACTTCTCTGACCAGCAGGAGAATGCCAGAGGAGTGAACAAACTATTCAAGAAGATTGTTAGTCAAGAGGTAAGGGGAGAGGAACCCATAGTTGAGTGTCCTCCAAACCTGTACAACCTCATAACTTTTACTGAGAAGTTTCTCATTACATAAATACTAAAATATGTTAACTTGTCCCCAAGATGTTTTTACTGCTTGTTTTTCTTATTTGCTGACTTTCTGTGCCTTCATAAACACATCAGAAGGCTATGTTAAGCAGGAGAATCAAGGTTTTGCGCTTACACATAAGTATTCATAAAACAGAATGGGTTTCTGTGTGGGTTGATTTTCTGTTTGTTTGTTTCTTTGTTTCTTTCTTTTTTTGCTTGTTTTTCTTGTCTAGGGCACAGTGTTCTTTTGCCCTGACTATATTCTTTAGATTACTTTCCTTTTTTTTTTTTTTTTTGTGTGTGTGTGTGTATGTATCATCAAATTGGATCTGACTAGTACCGGAAGAGTTTGTTCCTCCTTCTTCAGCAGAGCATCTGGTGGATTCGAACTGCATGCCTCTGGGATTGCAGTGCAGCTTCTTGCCACTAGGCCACCAGAGCTCCCTAGATTACTTTCTTATAAACCAAGCTTCTCATGCATTGGTCAGCTTAACCCTTACACTGAAGGATGGTTGGGATAGTTATAGGCATTTTAGATGACATTACAGTTAAATGGTGAACTACTAGCTGAAAGGCATACAGCTAGGACCTGCCCAAAGGAGCCCTCGGAGATAGATCTAATGATCTGCCTCATAAAAGCCAAAGTCAATGTAAACACTAAGGAGTAGTATGACTAGAAAGTCACCATGATTTAGAACCAATCAAAAGCAACGGCAATATATTGAGGTCCTATCATTAGCATGGTTGACTGATAAAAGTATCCATTGGTGCCTCAGTTGTCACTGACTCTTCATGCTAGGATAACATCCACTGCCATTGGGTGGAACTGCCTGAAGGGATTTCCAAGTTTTTAATATTCATAGTAGCAGATTAAAATTTTGCAAGGGTAGTTTTGTGGGTTTTTTGGTGCTATAGAATTGAGTATAACTCCTAGCAAGCCTATGAACAGCAGATCTAAACCCTGTCATATCCTGTGCCATCCTCATAATTTCAACGTGCTTGAGCCCATTGATCCACTTACTGTATCATTCCAACACTTAAAGGTCTTCCTCTCTTTCACTTACCATCCATCTTTGTAACCAGGATGTCCTTTTCCAAAGAACAACCTCTACTAGTAACATGCCTAAAGTACGAGATGAAGTTTTTCCTCCAAAGAGCATTCTGACTGCACTTTCTTTAAGACATATCTGTTGATTCTTTTAACAGGTCATAGGATATTTGGTATTATTCTCCAACATTACAGTTCAAATGCATCAATTCTCCTCCCTGTCATCCTTAGTCATTGTCCAGCTTTCTGATGCATAGCAAATGATTGAAGAGACTGCTTCAGGTACACCTAAGTTTTCAAACTGACAGCATTGCTCCTTGCTCCTCAGTAATTTGGAGAGGTCCCTGACTGCAGATTTTCTCAATGCAGTATATCTCCTGAACTCCTCCTGATTGCTGGTATCAAGGGTTTTGATTGTGGATCCAAGTAAGATGAATTTGTTTTCAATTAAAATCTTCATTCATTATGATTGTTGTTGTTAGGTGTCATCAAGTCTAGTATCACCCATAGTAACTTTACAACAACAGATTTGAACCCTGTCCTATCTGTGACATCTTCATAATTCCTGACACACTAGAGTCCATTGTGTTAGTCACTGTGCCAATCCACCTGGTTGAGGTTCCTCCTCTTTTTGCCCAGACTACTGCTTTTCAGAGCATCAAGTCCCTCCCCAAGGAATAGCCTCTACTAGCAACATGCCAGAAATATGTGAGGCAAAGATTCATCATCTTTGCCTCAAAGGAGCACTCCGGCTGCACTTTTTTCTGAAACATATCTGTTTGGTTTTTTGGCCATCGATGGGATGTTCAGTGCTCTTCTCCAGCACCACCTACTCAAAGGCATCAATTCTTCTGTCATCTCTAGTCATTGTCCAGCCCTTAGATGCAAAGCAAGTGATTAGAAAGTCCATGACCTGAATCAGACTTACCTTAGCTCTCTATTGACATCATTACTCTTCAAAAATTTGGAGTGGTTCCTAACTGTAGACTTTCCCAGTGCAATACATTTCCTGATTTTCTGAGTGCTACCAAGGTATTGATTATAGATCCAAGTAAGGTGCAGTTATTGACAATTTCAATATTTTCTCTATCTATCATGATCTTGCCCATAGGTCTACTGGTAAGTTTTGTTTTCTTGATGTTGAGATGCAATCCATACTGAAGGCTGTAGTCTTTGACCTTCTGTAACAAGTGCTTCAAGTCCTCCTCATTTTCAGCAAGCAAGGTTGTGTCATCTGCAGTTATTGATGAGTCTCCCACCAATACTGATCACACATTCCTCTTCCTAGAGTCCAGATTCTCAGATAATTTGCTCAGCATACAGATTGAATAGGTATGGAGAAAGAATACAACTCTGGCACACTCCTTTCTTAAATTTAAATCATGGACGATTCCAGACGAGATGGAGTCATACAGCAGCTGGGACAATGGAGGCTGGTGTGTGGTGTGTCAGAATTAGTGAGACTGGGTCAGGACAGAGAAGGTCACTATGGGTCACAGACAAATCGACTGCATATAACAACAGCAACAACAGCAGTGTTCTTTTACTCTGTTTGCACGAAAGCCTCTTGGTCTAGGTATAGGTTTTGTATGAGCACAATTAAGTGCTCTAGGATTCCCATTCTTCTCAGTGTTAACCATAACTTGATATTGGCCACACAGTCAAATGCCTTTGCATAGTCAATAAGCATAAATAGACATTCTTCTGGTATTTTTTTTTTTTACTTTCAGCCTGGATCTATTGGACATCAGCAATGATATCACTGGTGCCACAACCTCTTCTAAATCCTGCTTGTACCTCTGGCAGATTCCTATATATGTACTGTTTTAGACGTTTTTTTAATGACCTTCACCAGTATTTTGCTTCCACGTGACATTAATATTGCTTAATAGTTTCCAAATTCTGTTGGATCACTTTTCTTGGGAATGGGCACAAATCTCTTCCAATCTGTTGGCCAGCTGTCCTCCAAATTTCTTGACATATACTGGTGAGCACATCCAAGGCTGCATCTGTTAATAGAAACAAGTCAATTCCTGGGGCCTTAATTTTTGCCAGTCTCTTCAATGCAGCTTTAACTTCCTCCCTCATTTCAATTGGCTACTGCTTATATGGTACGTCTTGAAATTTTTCAGTAACAGTCAGTTCTTTTTGGTACAGTGATTTGGTGCATTCTCTCCATCTTTTTTTGATGCTTCCTGGACCATTCAATATGTTGCTGATAGCCTTTTAATATTATGACTCCTGGCTTATGTTTGTTTTACAGTTCTCTCAGCTTGACATATGCAGAGCGAGTTCTTCCCTTTTTATTCTCTAATTCCAGCTCTTTGCACACTCCATTGTAATACTTTGCTTTGTCTTCTGTTCAGCTCTTGACTTGGGAATGTTTTCCCTTTGTTTTGACTTCTCATTTCTCTAGTGTCATTTTCAGTCTCTTCTGACATGCCTTTAGGGTTTTTTTTCCTTTCTCCTCTTTCTTTGTAAGGACCTTTTACTTTCATCATAGATGATATTCTTGATATCATCCCACACCTTATATGTT